CAAGACACCGATCGACACAAGCGTTGGATTGGATTCATCGGAACCATTGGCGGCCAAAGACTTATCACTCGTTGTGTGGACACCAAAACACAACCTCTTCAGCGGATTGGAGACATTGGTTGCCATCGATTGGACAGTCGTCTCAACACATCTGTCGGCTCTTCAACGCCTTGCCATCGACTCCAACGGATCCCATGTCTTAAGGTATTCAATAACTTGTGATTTAATGCATTGTTTTCTTTCTCGTCCTCTAATCTCAGCCATAGATTTGGATCAACTCTCACGAAGGCTGACACCAATCCATACAAGCCTTCCATTGGTTCGTTGAACTCCACTTCGACCTCAAGAGGAACCATCCGATGGACCACTCGATGAACTACTCGTGAGGACGACTTCTGGACCAACACATGAGGGGAGGTATGAAATGGTGACAAATGTCGTCATTTTATTCATACTATTCATTGAATTCATTCTTTTATTCATTTATTAATTCATTAATTCTTAACTTATTTCTCATTTTATTATTTATTCAATACTAACACAAAAATGACAAAAATATTTCCAATTCAATAAATATTATATTTTATAATTCAAATCAAAACTTGTCTTTTCATTATTATATTAAAACAAAAAATTCTCACACTTTGTATATACAGTATATAAGTTAGTTGTCAATGAATACTGAATTTAAATGAAATTCATTACATCAAATATCAGTTATTGGATATTGAATTATAAATGACTATGAACGAAATGATCAAATAAATTATGTTTTGCTTTCACATAACATTTATTAAGTTTGACCAAAACTTAATGTCAAATTATAACGTTGTAATAAACATTTTAAAACTAGTTAAATTAAATATCTCAATTTTGTAATACTATACTTGAATTATAGTAATTTTTAGATAAATAAATTTATGATTTATGCACATTCTTAACGTGGCATATGTGGTGAACATTCAAGTGTTTATAGTAAATCATGAATGGATAGATTTAGTATTAGATATATCATATAATGTATTATTATATATTCTGTGTTCATTAAAAATGTATTAATAATTTTTATATGACTTATTGTTTTAAACGTAGATTTCGAGCAAACATTTCCTGTGTTTTAGGTATAAAAAGATGATATATTTTGTGTTCAAGCCATTCAAGTTTTACTGTTAGATAATCTCAAAATAATGAATTCCTACATTCAATTATTGGTTTTGTCTTTTGCTACTTTTGGTATGTATTGCAATAATGGATTAATATTAACATTAATTCAATTTAATATTATCTCTAATAATGTATTATATATTAAATGGTTTCTCTGATAGTTGTTTGCGACAGAAAAGCAGACATTCAATGTGTGAAGAGTGGATCCAATGCATTGAACGCTCAGTCAGACCAACAACTCTATGATTTGTCTCAAACTAATTTGCAAACCGGAGAGCAATTGGTTCTGAAGAGAGCAGCCATTGCTAAACAGAGTGGTCTTCCCTGTTATGACCAGTTCTACCAGAAGTACACCAAAGGATTGGCCAATATTTTTATGGAGGAACAGGAGACCAAACGACTCGATACGGCCCGCACTCCACAGGAGAGGTCGAATGCGGTCAAAGCCATTGCCGGCATAACTGTTGCCATGATTTGCGACGAGAACTGGAGAGCCGTTCACTTCAACGACACCATCAAAGAGGCCGAGTGTTCAGCACTCGAGTCGACAGCAGTCCTCGATTTAGTCGACTTTAAGCCCAAACTGGCGGTTCTTGAAAGCGGTCTCTTGTTTGCATCAATCGCTTCCAAACTGAAAAATAATGTGATGTCAGGAATCTTCGGTGAAGTATGTCCTTGCTCATTCATTTATCAGTTGTAATCAATTGATAGATAATTCAAACAATCTTATGATTCCTTATGAATAGATTACTAAACTTTATGGACAACTGTATACAGAGGGAGAGAAGTGTTCGCTAAGTCTTCGTAACCCATCGGACAAATGCCATAATCTCAAAATGTTTGTCAAAGAAATCAATCGACTCTTCTATTTGGCCGAAATCAAAGTCCTGTCCCTCTTGTAATACAATTCTCTAATTATGTTTCAGATCTGATTTCAAAATTGTCTTTAAAATAAAATTTATTTGCATTCAATCAACCTGATTATTAATATTTGAAAACTTAATGATTATTAATCAATGATTGGAAATTATTAAACACATGAATATAATGAACGACAATTTGTAAATAATAGAAATTATTGTTTGTATTTCTGTACTGTTTATTATATTAATGAAGAATATAAGCTTAGTTTTAATGTATAAACTCCCGAATGGAGTGTTCCTCCAATTCTAATTAAATAAGATTTAATAAGATTCCTAAATGTGTTAATAATAATGTTCCTGAATAAATATGGGTGCATATCCTAGATATGAGTGCATCAAAAATGCTTATTTGTTTCATTTGCTTGATGGGTGGATTTGTTTGAGCATTTATAAATACATTTACATACAAAAGTACTAGTTAATTTCTATTTAATTGTAATTAATTCGTTATAATAGTTAGTACACATGATCTTAAAGTGCCAAATAATTTTTGTATAACATTTGACGGAATTCAAGAAATGATTTAAATGTTTGTTTACCGATTAAAATGTTCAAAAAGGTGTTTAACTATTTTAATGAATTTCAATGAGCTTTAAGTAAATAACTACATGTAATTAGGAATAAAAAATAAAACAGCAATTTTTAAAATAATGGGTATTTAAAATGAGTCATTAATTAGGAAGTCAAGACTAAATTGTAATTACAAATTAAATATAATTTAATAAACTTTAGCTAAAATCATGTTCAAACTATTTTATTATATAACTTTATTTATGATATTTACAACAGGTATTTTTAATTTAAACTCAATAAATCTTTTAATAACTAAAGTATTTATTAATATTACAGTGAAATGCGATCGAAATGCAGACCTAAAGTGTGTGAGCACTGGAAATGCGGCCCTCAATGGCCTCAATGACCAACAGTTGTATGATTTGTCGCAAAAGAACTTAAACGACGGCTCGGCTATGGTTTCCAAGAGGGTTGGGATCGCCGCTCAGATGGGGTTTAGCTGTTATGTGGACTTCTATAAGGCATACATTCATAGATTGACACAAATATTACAAACGGGTCTCAAAGATAGGTTAGCGAAGGCTCGCACTCCCAATGAGAAGACCGGAGCCCTCAAAGCCATCGCATCCATCACTCAAACCATGATTTGTGACGAGAAGTGGAGAGCAAATCACGCCAACGATGACATCCAGTGCACTACCGCTGAGGCCAATGGCGCCGAAAAAGTCAAGTTTGCCACCCGATTGGGGACACTCAAGGGGGCCATGTTTTTGGGGGGTTTTGCTGAGAAGATTAAGAACCCAGTCATGGCTTCCATCATAACCGATGTAAGCATTTGTTAATTTTTGAGTGTTTTAAGGCATTTCATTAACTTTTTATTTATTGTAATAAAAACTGTGAGCTAATTTAATTGATTACAATTAATGTATAATATTATAATTGATTTGGCAATAGATAAGAAAACTATACTCCGATATATACGCAAAGGGAAAGGATTGCAGTGACAAACAGGTCGGCGCCGATAAATGTCGTCAATTGAAGAAATTTGTGGCAGAATTGGAGAGACTTTTCTATTTGGGAAGTCTTGCTATTGAAACCAAATTTATGTCGTTTTTGAAGTAATAGTGAGCAAAATAATTTTATAATATTTAAACTATCGATTAAAAATTATTAATTAAACAATTTTCTGTTTGTGTATTTTCTGTTCATACATTGAATGATTAATTACCAACACCTGAAAATCTTATCATGTGCTTAAAATATCTTCAAAACATTCAATGAAATATTGCTATATTTATTTGATACAGTAATTAATAATTATTTTTGCTACACTAATATAATAAATTAAATATGAACATTTTGTCCATATAAATTATATGTTTTATGACAAAATGATGTGAATATTAATTTAAATAAAGGTATTACTATTAAAAATGTTCATTTAAATATATATAAGTTACATAAAATACATAAACTATACTACACTAAATAGTGTCAGATAATTTCACAATTAAGTTTTAATTTCACAAAGAAATGAATCTTTAATAATAATTTTTTATTCAAAATTTAAAATTATTTTTACAAATATCTCGATTACTTTCACTTTTATTTATTATTTTTATAATAAATTTATATTATATATATTTAGTGTAAGTTTTATATTTATTAAAATATTGGTAGAGTATAAGCATAGAAATTCTTGAAATATTCATTGATTATTAATTTTATTTTATTCATTTAATTAGACCCAAGAATTTGATAAATACGGCGAATATCATGCCTAAAAACTAATATAATATAATTAATATTAGTCGTAAAATAAATAATAAAATTAAATTAAATACCTCTGTAACACGAACACCATTTACTAGAAATAGTATCCAGCATGAAAACCCAATTTTATTAATTCCGCTCTTTTCTATTAAATTCATTAACTATAATAAAAAATATAATGTTAAATACCTTTATATAAGTTAGAAAACATGAGATAAATATTGATTTACTTTAAGTTTTGTTTGTATCTTAAGACTACTGCTGTCTTTCCACACAAAGAATAACTGATTGAGTATTTTATATGTTTTATTCGTCTCGTTATAGACATTAGTTGCAGAATATATCAAAACCATTAAATACATGACTCCTATTACAAATATTGAGCCAAACATGATATTTACAGTGAGACCTAGGTTACCAAACAATATTTGCAATAAAAATCCCGACAAAACCGATGACATTGCGATCCAATTAAAGAATATATATTTCGACCAAAANACCGATGACATTGCGATCCAATTAAAGAATATATATTTCGACCAAAAAGCGTTTAATGCCTCAAATTCTTGGTGATTATTGTCTAACTTTCTCATTATTCTCATTAAACACATTTCAATATCTAAATCATTGTTTTCATTTAAATACCGTGTGTCTGTTAATTCATTCAAACTGCTATTTATTGATTTGAACTCAAGTTTGCAGTCATAAGAAAGTACTATAAAGTATAGCATTTGAAATAAATACATAGCCGGGTCATAGAGGCCATAGAAAGTGTAGACAACACTCCAGGGTAAGCCAAATATAATCAATTGCTGGATACTACAACTCATAGCCAGTGATGTAAAACATAGCAATGAAAACCCGATGGGAAACATAATATGTGTTAATACATCAAAATAAGTAAAGATAAACTTGGAGACTTTATCCAACACTATTACATCATTTACCGGTTGCTTATAATTAGCAGAATTCAATGAAAACAAATAATTGCATCGTTTTTGTCGGTAATACCAATAGTGAAGCAAATGTGTGCCAATCGGTAATATAAACGTCAAAACCATTAGCAGATTGAACTGTGTTTTCAATTTCCATTTGAAGGCATAGTCTCCCACTAATAGGGAATAGTTGTCATTATTGATGATCATTGAACTGAAGTCTTTGCAAACAATGACCAGATTTACACACATTATTAATATGGGATTAAATACTAGTCTTCGTTTAGTGTTGGTATGCCAAAACTGCATGCTTTACGGTTTGAATATCTCACTAGCAGAGTTCTTGAGGTTCAACAAGAACCAGACATTTCGCATTTTAAATGTCTTTGAATTAATAAACTTTAATTTATATCGCATTGACTTCCGAAACATTTTATCAGACTTTATTGGCACTAATATTGACTGAATTTTTGCATTTATTATTAATCAACGAAAATATAATTATATTGATTTTACATTACTTTAACCGTAAGTTATTTACAATAATCTGTGAGCAAATGAAGTGCAAAATGATTTCTACATTAAATCAGTGGACTAGTAATAAACAAATGAAATTAATTGCTTGAATTACATTTGAATTTGAACTTTATGTTGCAATATAAGTAATAACTATGTTTCGTGATATATCAATATATTTCACTTTTGTTTATAAAATAATATTATTTGTCATAGATGTTACATTCTATTTTTATTATCATATATGATATTATAGACTTACCTGAATTGACAAATAAACTTGCCATGAGTACCAATACACCTAATTCATAAATAATAATATATTATTATGAAATGAAATTTTTAAAAATTATATTCAGAAATTGAGATTATTCTTTAATGATCCTAGCTTCATTAAAACCATTCTTTAATTAAATAAATCATAAAACTTGTAACTTATCATTGCTTAATTAAGTTTAGTCATAAGTTTTGATTAATTAATTAATTATTGAATATAAATTAATAATAATGTATAACTATAATATTAATTAAGCTTTCTACAAATAAAATATAATACAAATATGAATTATTGTTAAAACATAGAAATTTAAAATATTTAGATATATACAAAGTATTTATTATTTAATCGTAAACATTTTATTTACAATTGTAGTCTACTCAATTTATAATAATAAATTAAAATTACTGTGATATATTAAATTACCAATAATTATAAAAATGGCATCAATAATAAACTCAAATTAAATTTGATTTTAATGTTATATTCTTTAATAATCTAGTTTAACAAAAAAAATGAAATTATTTTTTAAATTGTTATTATTCTTCACAATATGTTTAGTCAGAAAAATAGACACTTTACGTATGGCTGCAAATTATTTATCATTTAAATTGATTACATTATAATGTATATGTTATTTTCTAAGTTTGCGAACACCCCAACATGGTATGGAAAGTATCAGGCACAAATTGCGGCAAATTCTGCGCCGACCTAATGGGTGACCTGGCCATGGAGTGCCCCAAATGGCGGCTCAACATCGGGTGTTATTGCAAAGATGGCTATTATCTGAATAAGTTCTTAAGATGTGTCAAACCGGCCGAATGTGCTGAAGATGCGCCCCCAGAACCCCGGGCACCCATACCTCAAATTGACTGTCCGGACAACGAGTTATACGACAACTGCTCGAGTCGTTGTCTGGAGCAGTGCTCCAAACGGGATGACCCCATATCCTGTCCCATCAACTG